AGTTATCCGCACTCTCACCCACACCCTTTGTACAAAAAAAAGAATCTTTTCAATGGCGTTCTCCGTCTATGAAACTATACACAAAAAGACATCTTACATACATGATAACAGTTATCATCACCATCTTGATTCATAATGGTAAAGAGCAAATAAAGTGTTTTAACAAAAAGGTGAAAATAGGAATATTGGTCACAATATTTGTAAGATGTTTTTTCATCAAAGGGTATAATTAAAAGTTCTTGTCGAATATCAAAAATATTATTTATGTCTAATCAAAAACTAAGTAAGATAATTTGATTATTTATTTTCGTTTTTCATATGATTATAAAGATTGTTCAACATCGAATCCATGCGGAAGAAATGGATATTGTGAAAAGAATGAACATGGTGAATATTATTGCTCGTGTATATTCTGGTGGTCTGGACAAATTTGTAACGAATGTAAGTAGATTATAGCTTCTTTCCTTCACGAGTCTCACTGCTATATTCTAGTAACTAATAGTGGAATTCAAGTAATTATTCTTGGTTGTCTATTAGGTCTTCTTATAGGAGTTTACTATGGTTTAATTATCTATCGTAAAACAACTCGAAAGACGCAACAAAAGAAAGATAAACAAAATTACAAGTAGATAATATTTATTTTCAACATTTTTTCTTTAAAAGAAAAACTTCCATTAGATTTTCAATTGGAATTAAATTTAATATTCATCGTTCATTCTATGTGTTTATAAGTCTAATTTTAATTATTGCTACATCAGGATTAATAATTAAATGGTTCATGATTCAATCAATTCACAATATAATTGTAGATCAATATCGTCATAATCTTTCATTATTCTATAAATCTCATGGAATTTGTCAAGTAATTAATTATCGAAAAACAAATTTAATCATGTTTCCCATGTCTTGTTTACTGATTTTTATTTTTGCCTTTGAATACAAACGAATTTTGTTTGGAGCAAAAAAGTATAGTGACTTTTATTTTCTTCCTGTTCCCATTGATTTTTTTACTAATATTAATCGAACATTTGTTGCTGTAACATTTGCTATTGCCGCAAATGAATTGTTAGAAATTGCAAATGAAGCATTTAGTGATACATATTCAATTAATAATGGTATTGTTCTTGTTTATCTTCAACAAATCTTCAAAGTTTTGTTGATGGGTTTTCGTTATTATCCAATTTTAGCTGCAGTTTACATTGATTCAAAATTAAGCTTACTTTTGGGTACATTTTATTCTTGGATAGAGTTACCAATGACAATCCTTGAACAAGGTCTATGTCAACCGAGATATTATGAGAATGCACAGAAAATAAATGATACATATTTAAATTTCTTATTCGAATACTATGGTACAGGATCTTTTCTTCTAATTATTGATTTATTAACTGATATACCTCGATATGTATGTTTATCGTACATAATTATTGAATTATCACGAAGGATTGGAAAGAAATTTCTCTATGAAATTAAAGCTGATTATTTAACACAAGAAGAAAAAGTATTATTAAATGCGTTACAAGTCAATTCTGTTGAAATGATGTATTTACGGAATTTATTTCAATCGAATAAACGAACAAGTAATTCTAATCAATGGATTTATGAATGGCGAAATGATTTTCGATTTTCATCTCGTATACTTTGTCTCTATTCATCAATATTTCTTTTTCTTTATTTCTTTTTAATTCAAGTATGTGTTCAAGTATTACCATATATGATCGAATTACAACAATTTATTCAGAATTCAATCAATAGTTTTCGTGGAAATCAATCAACTCATTCTATACCTGTACTTGTTCGACCGTTTCTTTTAGCTGTACTAATTGGATCAAGTATTGTTGTTATTCAACTTATATTATTATTAGTTAGTATTCGTCGAAATTTATTTCAAGTTTATCGAGGTGATCAATCAGAAATTCCTCGCCGAAATCGATCAAATTATAAAACATATGCAATAGGAAATTTTCATTTTGCTGGTTATTTAATTGCTTATGTTTTATGGGGTTTAGTATTTATTATATCATTTCTTTTTATTCTTTTGGTTTTTATTGATATTATCATTACATTTAGTTTATTTTATATTATTGAATTAATTCTTAAACATCTTATTCCAGTACTTTTAATCGCTTATTTTAAAGTATATTTGAACAAATTTCTTGCTCGATTTGCATTTCTTCAAGATGATGGTGATGTTTTAGCTATGAATAATCGTCGCGTTTTGATGATATTTCTGTATTTTAATTTTTTTCTCGATGCGTTTCTGGGACTGTTTTCATCTGTTGGTCGACTTTTAAAAAGTGTTATGGGTGGTATTTTTTACATGTGTCGATTGGATTATTCTCCATTAGGTCGAAAATTGGAAAGTTGGGATGATGGTTTCAATGCTTATTGTGGTTTTATTCATACGGAATGTACTCATCGACATCCAATTTTATTACTTTTTACTGCCTATTTACTTGATATGAACAAGAAGAAATCAAAACTAATTGCTATTACTAATCCTTTAGCGATTTCAATTGATTTAACATTGCAAAACGAAGAAGAAAGCAGAAGAAGGAGAAGACGAATTATTCAAAAATGGCAAATGATTGTATTTTTAATACGAAATCCATTGTTTGTTTTTTATCGTAAAGCATATTTTAAACAATTTCATTTCGTTGAAAATCATCTAGTACAATGGAGAAATAACGTCCAAGTCACTCAGCTGATGCTTCGACGTTTAAATTCCGTTTAAAATGTATTTTTTTTATTTTTAATTCACTTTAAAGATTACATATCAGATACATTGTTTTTCGATCGAGTGTAGGTGTGGATGTGGGTAGGGTAGGCGGGTGGCTCTTGAGTGTATAGGTGGGTGTGGATAAGAGTTCAATTGTATGCCTAGACCCACACAGACCCAAACCCAAATAATGAGAAACACAATAAAATGTGATATCATCAACACTACCACTTCTTCGATCAGAAATCGACGCAATAATAACGATATTCTCTTTGAATCTGTTTTCAAAAGTACAATATCAATATTATTGTCTAATATTTACCATTTATAATACTCTTTTTCTCGTGTTCTGTGTGATATTTATACAGAAAAATCATCTCTAATCCGTATGCTTAGTGCAAGATAAGTATATTTCTTTTTTGACCTAATTCACATTCAAACAATGATCTATTCAATATCGATTCTAATTGTATCTTTCACAGTAATATTTTGTAATGATTTTGCTGATTACAATATAGTTGGAACAACTGCTCATGGATGGGAATTTGTACGTGATTTATTTTTAGAAAATTTTATAAAAGAAAAAGATTTAGGTGCATCTATAGCAGTTTATTATCAAGGCAATCCAGTGGTGGATCTTATCGGTGGATGGTTTGATGAAACACAAATTAAACCTTACGATAATAATACATTACAGTTGGTATTTTCTACGACAAAAGGTATTGTAGCTATGGCTGTTGCAATTTGTGTGCAACGAGGTTTACTCGATTATTCAGCATTAGTAACTAAATATTGGCCAGAATATGGACAAAATGGAAAAGAAAATACAACAGTAGCCGACATATTATCTCATCGTGCTGGACTTCCATATGTATTATCTCCAGTTGATCAATATACTAATTGGACAGCAATGATTCATGAATTAGAAGAACAACAACCATTATGGGTGCCAGGGACTACTCATGGTTATCATTCAACAACTTATGGTTGGTTAGCTGGTGAACTTGTTCGTCGTGTGGATCCAAAAAAACGATCATTTGGGCAATTTGTCAAAGATGAAATAACAACTCCAACACAAACAGAATTTCATATTGGTCTACCACCTGATATGCAGGATCGCGTATCACCAGTTGTTCCACAATTAGATATCAAAAACATACTCAACGAGTCAATGTTGACTTATTTTGAAATATGGAATGATCCTAAGATACATCAAGCAGAAATACCAAATGCCATTGGAATGTCAACTGCCTGGTCGATAGCACGACTCTATGCAGCCTTCATTGGGAATATCAAGAATAAATTCGGACAACGATTGATAGAGGATGAATTTATGAGACGTGCAATCAAGTCAAATACACCTGCAAATGAGATAGATCTTGTATTTCAATATTATTCTGTATTTGCCATGGGTTTTCATCGATATGATTACGCTCTTCCTGCTTATGGTGTAGATGTATTTGGTCATCATGGTAAGAAAGAAAAGCGATGATTATATTTCTAACAACATAATTTATTTTTTGAACATTTTTAGGAGCTGGTGGAAGTATTGGTTTTGCCGCACCCTCGAAGAATCTTACTTTTGCTTATGTTATGAATCGAATCCAAACGAATCCAGCAATCATTATTGATCCTCGTATGCAACTTATGTTGGATCAGATTGCTGCAAGAATTAATTCTCAGTTCTTTTAACATTATTATTCGTTTTAAAATAAATAACCCACTACTGCTGATGAAAAAAAAATATATATAGTTGAATATGTGAATGAGTGGATGCCAATAAAGAGGACACACCCACCTTCTTAAAATTGTCAAATCATTTTTACTAAAGAACAATGAAGGAGAAATCTAAACGATGATTCAGTTAATGTTAACAATATGCATAAAGCGAAGTCACTAGAATAATTATAACATAGCATGTTTTATTCTTATCTTTTATTCTTACACTATAATTTTGCGCATATAAAGAGATGTTCTTGCACAACATGTATGTAAGAATTGACTTATATATATATATCTATATAAATAACTACCTGAAAATAATGACAACAAACAACATGTTATTTATTTTTCTTATTCTTTTTGGACATGTATTCTTCAGTCAAACAGCTATTTTTCTGTGTGATTTCGAAACAATTTGTAATGATTTTGATATTGACACAAATTGGGGTTTAACGGATGGTCTTCATCCTGAATCTATTGATCATGATCATACATTAAATACGAGTGCTGGCCATTATCTATTCTATAGTCCAAAAAGTTCGCCACCATTTTATGATATAAATGCTAAAATTAAAACAAAAGATTGGATAGAACCATCAATGGATCGTGTTATATGTTTTCATATGTGGTATTACACACCTGAATCTAATCTTCCATTTAGTATTCAATTAGTACAAGGTGATGATGAACAATTAACACGAATTGTAGCATCAATACCTGGTAAAGATCCATCAATTGATGATTGGACATTTATTAATATAACATTACCATCAGAAAAAATTAAAATAGTTATTCGATTGAATACATCAATTGTTCCTTTAGCATTTGATGATTTGTCTGTTGATTATTGTGATGGGCCACAACCATTACCACCGAAGATTCTATATGAATGTGATTTTGAATCTTCATGTACAGAAAATTTTTTTTCATTGCCAAATTATCCATATGAATGGTCAATAATGAAAGCCGATGATGCTGTTAAAATCGAAAATGCAGCACCTTCTGTTGATTTTACATTTAATAATCAATCAGGACATTATGCATTAGTACCGAATTCAAAGATAATTGCAAAAGGTAATGTTGGTTATTTTGCACTTCGAACATCATTTAATATTACTACGGATGAATCATTTTGTTTGAATTTTCAATATTATGCTTATGGACAACCGTATGCTAGTCACCTGAAAGTCTATGCATGGATATTAGATTCACCTGAAACGATACAAGTATTGTGGCCACCAGTCCGCAGTCAATATATGTGAGTTACAATAAAAATGAAGATAACATTTATATATATATATATACTTTATTTAGATATGTAAGTAATAAATGGTAAGTATTTTTTGTTATAGAATTAAAATATATGTATGTTTCTATTTATACAGGACTTGGAGTATTGTGAATTTACCTGTTGGTGATTATTCGTTACTATTTCGTGTAGATAATTCAAATACTTATGCAAGTTCATTTGCAATTGATAATATATCAATAACATCTTGTGATTATTCACCTTCGATATTCCAAGACGACGGTGCTTTTCTTTCGTTTTCATGTGATTTTGATAATTTAACAATGTGTGATATGGAAAATAGCGTTAGATATCCTTATCCTTCATATAATTTTACTGTAGTTACTGGTGAAACAGTACCTAATCGAGATTTGGGTCCACTTCAAGATCATACAAATAATTCAACAACAGGTGGTTTTATGTATTGGGATCGACATTTACCTTTTACTAGTGGAGATTTTGGTAATGTTCTTTCTTCAAAATCAGTAGAAATCAATTCAGACATGTGTATTAAATTCGCCTATTATGTTAAATCATCAATAGATAATAAAAATGGAACACAGTTAGGTTTAGTAACAGGTGGATGTTTGGGTACACAGATGTGGTCTCGATCATTAGATGATAGTAAAGGTTGGCAAGTAGTTATTCTGCCTACACCAAATGTTTTGTGTATGGAAACATTCTATTTTCAAATCTATCAAAGAGAACCAGTAGCAGTATCAGTTGCTCTTGATGATATTGAAGTAGCATCATGTGATATTATTTCTCCAACAACTACAACTACTTCGACAACAACAACTACTGCCACCACTACTACTACTACTACTACAACTGTAACAACTAGTACTACTACTCAAACCACAACAACTAGCAGTAGTACAACAACAACATCAACAACATCGACTACAAATACATCCCCACGAAGTAGTTCTCAACGACTATTATTTTCTCAAGAATATCATTTGATTATTATTTCAATATTGTTACTAATCACTCGGGAAATATTATAAAACTAATAATAATAATAACGAAAGAAAGGCGGATTATTTTATTGTTTTCCATTTTACTCACAGTTAGGTAGTACATGAAAATTCTTGTTGATAATATTTAAGGCTTGAAGGTGTGGATGTAGATGAAAGATAAAGACTACACTTTCATTCTCACCTGTACCACAACGGAAATATAAAAAAATATTAAAAAAAAGAAGCCCTTATCAAGTATGATTTAGACAAGATACATCTGTTACTAAACGGGCGATATGCAAAAGAAAACAAAAAACAAAAACAGATAATTAGAATAGAGACGATAAAACCGTGAATTAATTAGTTTTGATGAACAATTTCTGACAATGGATCGACAATTCAGTAAAACAGTTATAATTCTTTAACAATAGACTATGAACTCTAATCATCTAAGACTTTTTTATCAATATTTTTGATAGAACAAGAAGAAATCAAAAGCATCTCTTTGAATCATATAGTATTAACAGAAACAGATGAACTCTTGATAAAAAAAAAGTCTCTTTTACTTCTTCTTATTATCTTTTCTTTGTTAAATATAAAAAACGGAGTTTCTTCAGAGATGAAGTGTTCAAAAACAGTTATCAGTGAAATAAACAGCAAGGTTGTTAAGTAGAACATTTTTTAGAAAAACAACTTATGAAATTAAATACGAAGAAAAAAAATAATTTGTCATTTATGAGATTGAATTTCTTTTTTATCAATATCAATCAATGATATTGTCTCAATTCAAACTTTAAAGTATTTGTAATTATCAAAAGAGAATCGAACTTTCTTATCAAATAAAAAGCAACAAAATTGATTTTGTAGTTTTTCTGAGATCCGGCAGTTTTCATCTATTGTTAAAGAAAAAAACTTATTTAAGATAGTGCTGAAAACTAATAATCAAATATCAGCATTCTAAAAAAGAAAGGAAGAAATATGTTTCCTCCTACTGTTTACTGAGTGCACTGTAATCAAAAGAAAATATAGTTTATATATTGCTCTCTCTTTTTTTTAGACACTCATCCATTTGTTTAACAGTTAACTTTCATTCAACATGAGAAACACAATGGTATTATTTCTTTTTTTTATCATTATTATCCAAACAATATCACAAGATATACGTTCATTATTATTAACTAAATTGAACAATATTCAATATCAATGTACTGATCCTAGTTGTTCATCTTCTACTACCAATTTTGCATTGAACTTGAGAGCCTGTGAAATTGCTTGTTTAGTTAATATCAATTGTCGTACACTTACGTATGATCAATCTAGTAATCAATGCGAACTCTTTGTTGATATTCCGAGTCAATATGGTAGTCTGGTCACACAAGCAAATATTATTACTATGATTGCTGTTGATAATAGACAATTATCAGCTCGTAAGTAATATGAAATTCGATAGCTAATCAAATATCGACATAGAACTATTTGAACGAAAACACTGGAAAAAGTTAATCAGAAAACAAAAACACACAAAAAATAAATATTATTGGCTGTAAAGTGAATAACATATGACCCACAAAAGTGTATAAAAATTTTCAAGTTTAAACATCTCTCTTTATGATTATTCTTCGTCGAGTAAAGAATAGTTTAATTAGTTTTTATTAAAAACCATATCGAATTGAATAGAATTATAAAAAAAAATACAATTCAAAATAGTCGTTTTGTTAAAATATTTTCTTTTGATTTATTATTCCATCCTTATGAAGTATTTGTAAGAATCTTATGTATTCTCATTCGTATATATTTCATACAAAAAATCTAACACATTTACTATTTTATTTTAGCAATGACTACTAGTACAACAACATCCGCGTAAGTTTAAATCATATTCTTTTTTAATCTCAATATATTACAAACTGCATTCATTCGACTAAAAGTATTGAAAAAGAACGCAGTAGAATCATTGATAGAGTAGTTTTTTCATTCATGCAGAATCCGAATTCACTATTCTATTATTGAAAATAGCAAAATAGATTCTGACAAGTGTAACTATCTTGAGGATGTAGGTGTGGATATTGTCGTCATCTTACACCCACATCTTGTTCATTTAGTTAATGCAACGTAAAATACTATTAATCACTAAATTTTACATTTCCTACATACCACTACAGTATAAGAGAAAGAAAAACAGTGGCTCTTAACTGTTACTAATAATTGAATTCGTTTCTATGTGCAAATGCCATAATAAGTAATTATTTACTTCTAACGTTATTATTCAAATATGTATACAGCACAACAACAACTGCATCAACAGCAACATCATCAACAACTTCATCATCAACAACTTCATCAGCGTCAACATCATCATCGTCAACATCATCATCAACATCATCGACAACATCATCAACAACCTCATCATCATCAACAACATCATCATCATCAACAACATCATCAACAACTTCATCATCGTCAACATCATCATCAACTTCATCATCAACAACGTCATCAACATCATCGACAACAACAGCAACGATACGGGGTGAGCGATCGACTAAATGAGAAGTGTTTTTTATTACTGTTCTTGAGGGACGGAGGTGTGGATGAGGTTAGGATAGATACGATTTAATCACACCCACACCCTCAAAGATGAATTTCTCGGGCTTTTGAGTCTTATCCGACGTGCTCTAAATGTGACTTTGAAATGCCTAAAATATTACTTATGTTTAAAGTAAATTAAATATATTTTTCTCACATTTATCTTTTTCATTTAGTATGGTCTGCCACAGGTGCAATGAGTACTACAAGAAACTATCACACCGCATCTGTATTAACAAATGGAATAGTACTAGTTACTGGTGGAGTTAATAGTGCTGTTTTAAATAGTGCTGAATTGTATAATCCAGCAACAGGTATGTGGACAACTACTAACGCGATGAGTACATTACGAAAACTTCACACAGCAACGGTATTAACAAATGGAAATGTATTAATTAGCGCTGGAAATAATGGTGCTAACTTTTTAACTACTGCTGAATTATATAATTCATCAGCGGGTACTTGGACAACTACAGGATCTATGAGTAGTTTACGAGGTGCTCACATAGCAGTCATGTTAACTAATGGGAAAGTATTGGTTAGCGGTGGTGATAGTGGTAGTGGATTTGTTAGCAGCGCTGCATTGTATGATCCATCACCAGGTACTTGGACAACTGTTAGTTCGATGAATTATTTACGTTGTTCTCACGTGGCATCTATATTAGCAAATGGTTCCGTCTTAGTTGTTGGTGGATACAATGGTGTTTATTTAGCTACTGCTGAAGTATACAACCCTACAACAAATACTTGGACAAATACAGCTAATATGAGTTATGCCCGACAGTCACCTACAATATCTATATTATTAAATGGAAAAATATTAGTTGCTGGTGGATATAATGGTGGTTCGTTAAACGTTGCTGAATTATATGATCCATCGTCAAGCACTTGGACAGTTACAGGTAGTATGAATTGTGCACGACTTGGTCACACAGCATCTGTATTAGCCAATGGAAATGTATTAGTTACGGGTGGATGTAATAGTAATAGTTTTGCTGAATTATATAACCCATCAATAGGAAATTGGACAATCACAGGAAATATGACTGCTATACGCGCTTTTCATACAATATCCACATTAACAAATGGAACAATATTAGTTGCTGGTGGTGTTTTTAGTAGCAGTATTTATTTAAATAGTGCAGAATTATATTAAGCATCATAAAAATGACAACATTTTCTATTGTAGTTTGCAACATATATTTATTTTTCAAATTGTAACTATTTATTCATAAATGCTTTAATAAAACTATCACTAATAATATCTTAAAATTGTTGAATAAAACTGTTGAATTTACTCAAAGGGTGCGAGTACGAGTGATACGCATGTTGTTATTAAATATATTGGATCCTCCTTACATCCATCTGTGACATTATCTTGTAAAAAACTTATTGTTTGATGATACGGTGAGACAATGAAAATTTCATGTACTTTTCAGCCTACACAATATTGCTCGTATCGTAATCGAATATAACCCTACCACTTTTTGTAGAGAGAGAAGCATATTTAATCTGAAAGTGTTCTGCTGCTCTATGTCAAAGCAATTCTTTTATTTCTTATCTTTTTCTTATATCTGAAGAATAAATATATATATATATATATTCAATGTTGTATGTGTCTGATATACGCGTTACTTTATATTTGAAGGTAGTCAACATCTAATGACAGCTAAAAACTGTATGTATTATTGGTGCAGGTCCATCAGGTCTTGCAGCAGCCAAAGTTCTCCTAGAAGATAGTTTTGATGTCAGTATATTTGATCGACAAAAAACATTAGGGAGGATTTTGTCTCCAGATTGGGCCTATGCTGATCTACACAGCCAACAAATCGGAGGTTTTATGGAATTTTCCAATCTAGAGGATACGGAAGGTAGTTTTCTTCGATAAATAAATGAATTGTTTATTCAATTGATTTTAGCTGAAGATGATGCTCCTTGGGAAAATATTCATAATTATCTCAAAAAATATGCTCAAAAATTTCGTTTAGCAGAACAAATTCGATTTCAAACAACAGTTCTATCAATCGATAAAGATGATTTGAAAAATTCAACTCTTCTATGGCTTGTCAAAATTCAAACAGTTGACAATCAACAACAAACATTCGAATTTGATTTAGTTGTTGTAGCTACAGGTCTTTTTTTCCACACCTTTCATGCCAATATTTCGTGGTCAACATAAATTTGCGGGATCGATTGTTCATCCCAATGAAATTAAAACATATGAACAATTAAACAACAGACGTGTTGTAATTATCGGTGGAGGTAAAACTGCTTATGATTTAGCTTCATTAGCTGGAAAATATGCCTTGTCTTGTCATTTGATCTTTCGGCGTTCTCATTGGTTAGTTCCAGAAATACTTTTTAATGGTTATCTACCATGTGCATATGCATATGCAACAGGTTATGTCGAAAAATTTCCATTTCTCTCTCAAATATTTCATCGAATTCTTGGTCAAAATACAACGGAGGAAGGAATTGATCTTGATCTCTATCGTCGAATTATTCCTGTTGGAGTACCTAATATTGCATTTATTGGTTTACCAGCCAGTTTAAATACCTGGATGTTTTTTGAAGTGCAGTGTCATTGGACATCAGATTATTTTCTGGGTTGAATTCAATTACCATCAACAGAAAAAGCAATGTTTGAATAAATACATACAACTAGATGGTATTTATCGACCAAAACGTCTTGCAAATTTACATTATGAACGTCAAGAAAAGGCATTAGATAAAGCCACAAGTATTTGGCATTATCATTGGTATTTTGGTTTTACACATACAATTCTTCTTCTTCTACTAATATTATTTATTTGATTTTTCTTCTAAATCAAACACCGATACGTCGAATATTCTAGTAGATATACTCGCTCTTACAGAGATATTTTTTGACATTATATTATGCTTGAGAAGCAAGCAAGCAAGCAAGCAAGCAAGCAATAATAAAATTCTCTTGAAAATGAAAACAAACATAAAAAAGATACGAAAATTCGTTTGCTAGGTCAGATAATTAAAAGCTACAAAAAAAATTATTGATTTAAATAAAATGTTTGTATTATTAAGATGATAATAAGAATAGCCATCACAATAATATTGTTGTTATTTATATTGGATATGTTTGATTCTGAAAAATATGGTGGAATACCTTGTGGAAATCTAAAATACCAAGTAGGATCATATTTAGTATTAATTTCTCTGAGACGTTCCCAATTATTTCTATAATACATTTTTTCCCAATTAGGTAAATATGGATCAATATAATTAAGATATGCTCCAGGAATACTATGTGTAGATGCTGCTGCATCAATTAACTTCCTTTCCATAGTTTGAGCCATATCTAATGCAAGCGGATCAAAATCAGCATCGAGCCATGAAACTCCAGGAGCAATGTCAAATGAAATATTAGGAAAAGCAAAGGCTGTATTTTTATCTTTGTTTGCATTGTGTAGATAAACAAAATCTGTCCATGCATCAATTTGATGAGTAGAATTTGGTTTGAATTCTAAAATAACATCTAACATAGCATCGGTGATATTAATAGCCATAGCGGATAAGACATGTTCTCGTTTGGGTACAGGAAATGGGACTGCAAGTTCTCTGGCTATATCAATTTGTGCATAATGTACCACATTGTAAGGATTTGGTTTCGGATCTTTAGATAACCATGAATCAAATATTGAATTAAATTCTACTTCTGGACCATTGAATGAACACCATATCGTAAGAAAATTACCTGAATTTGTTATAACTACAATAGTATTAAATGAAATTCGAGTATCAAAATCAACAACTTCTTTTATGAAAGTAAACCAATTATTGAGAGCTTTTCTTATATCAGTATTGACCCAAGTTAGATTAAGAAATAAATATTGACCATTTGGTAAATTTGTTTGATTGATTCGATGAATTTTTTGAGTCATTTCTAAAACAAAACCAAAATTTCCACCTCCACCACCACGAAGTGCCCAATATAAATCCGGATTAATTGTAGATGATGCTGTGACAATAGTTCCATTATATAATGCCATTTTAAAATTAAGAACATTATCTGATGCATAGCCATATGAACGACTATACATAGCATTATAACCACCTCCTACTGTAAAACCCACAACACCTACTGCTGGACATAAGCCACCTACAATAATATGTTCAGATCCATTTAAAACTTTATAAATATCATTCCATAGAACACCTGCTTCCATTGTTACTGTTTCACTTTGCAAATCGATTTTTAAACCCTTTAAAAGGACAGAATCAGTAACTATACCTTGGTGACTACAATAACCACCGTAACTGTGTCGACCTCCCATAATACGAATAGGAATGTTAAGAGAAGAAAGTGTTGATAGTGCTAAAGATACATCATCGAATGTTGCAGGACGAATCAACATATTGGGCCATGTTTGTATGACTCTATTGTGAAGAATAGCTGCTGCATGGTATTGTGAATCTGTTATTCTTAATACCTGTCCACCATGCGATATTATTGTTGATTCCAATTTCGTAAGTGGATCATCTTGACAATAAATTGTATGAACAGATAATAATATAATCAATATAATATCCACATTGATATATGATTTTATCATTGTCAATGTTCACTATAAATTTAGTAAAATCAATCTATTAAGAAATAATCATAGGCACTTTTTATCAAATTGATTATACTATACACTGAACGCGTTACGCGTACATCATTGAATAGGATAGTCACTAGCTGTGAATAGTAAAAAAAGAGAACGAGGTTGCTATGTCTATCCTTACATGTTATTCTACTATTCTTCTCAAACCCTTTTCACGTCTGTTAACAATCACTGTTTTCGTCACTTACCAGAACATTAAAACGGTTTCTTTCACGAACCTTTGTATAGGCAATTTGTGAATAAATATCAATCTCATATCCCAGGTGTGAATGAAAGGGTAAAGCTTCAAAATAAAACATATAATCCTTTTATAACACAAAAGATAATATCGGCAAGGATTATTTTGATTGTCTACTAACACACGCTCAGAAAAATTGAGTTATGTTTACTAGAATGTTGACTGAAGTATTTGAGTGTGATATCATACTCACAATATAATCTTTGTAGTCGTACAGTGGAAAAAAGGTGAAGAGCGTCTTTGCGTCGTATCTTTACTTGGTAAAAACAGAATATAAAGAAAGATATCACAAAATGCCCAATAAATGCATTTTTATGGTACTTCAAAGCCACCGTCATATGTGAAAATAAATGAATACTTTTGTAAAATTCAAAAAGAACTTGTTCATTGATATGTACGATTCTCTACACTTCATGCCAGAGGAAAGTGAATTCAATGCATAAATATAAGTTTATTTATTTTGAAATCTATTGATATGTATAGTTTAACAACAAATAGCTTGTTTAAATAATTATAAAGTTATAGTTTCTTCTTTTTTATCTTAACGCCGAGAAGCAACAGTATTTGTTTGAATACCAATAATAGCGCGTCGTCGATTGTTCACAACACCAGGCCATCGACGGCAATCAATTACATTTTTCAATTTCTTTTTTACATGTGGTATTGTTGAGAGACATGCAAATGGCAAAAACATACATGAACCATATCCCAAATAATTTAAAATCAGTTCTTGAATATCTGTTGGTATTGGCTGAATAGCAGATGTCAATTGAAATAATGGATTGATCGTATCAGGCACGTTAAATACAATGCAAACGAAAGAGATACTCACTAATTGTAGAACCATTTTACGATTTTTACGCCATTCTGCTGCTTGCTGATGCATACGTCGCTTGTGTACAATAACACGCAGAATAAGAACTATGCTAATGAATGCTTCTAGGAACAAAGGAATGACTTCATGAGCAAGATATTCGTACAGACTAAGCCAACTAGGAATGTAATAAGAATAACAAACCCATCCACACCAAACATTTTCATAATTAAAATTATTTTGACATGGATAAAAGAAAATAAAAATTATGTAATACATGGTGGAATATATTAGAATAAGTGCCAATGGTTGATAATGAAAAAGCAGTTGTCCACGCTTCGTACGCACTAAATGTGCATGGAAAACAAGCATATGACCTGTAGAAGAGAAAAAAAGTAGTATTTATTTTTTGATTATTGCATGTACTATCTTGAATACTCGATCATCTAGAAATGAAGAGATAATGATATCAAAAAAAAGTTCAGCAACAGTACGGCTATCTAGTGACTAAAAACATATCTGGTTCTCTCCGTTTGATAACATCAAGCAGATGCAAATAGTGAAGTGACTTACGTTCCAACGCAGCCCAAAGCATTACAAGAAAGCTGGTAAAGTACGCCCAATAATTGATAAAATTCCAAAAATAACATGTTGCTGGTACTGCTGGTTGTACAATACCTAGATGTAACCAAGTAAGAACCAGAGATACATCAAAAAGTAATTGAAGAAAATTGAACAGAAGCAGAACAAGTATAACATGATTGTGAAGAGACTTTCTTTGAACTTTATTTGTAAGAATATGAAAGAAAACGAATAGATATACAGGCAAAGATAATACTTGTCCAATTTGTAGAATACTATAATTAATCCGCCTAAATTCAGGTAAATCCAAAGAATCTGAATTGTCCGAAGTGTTGCTGTTTTCCGACATGCTAATTTACAAATGTTTTTATCAGAAATACAACAGTCTTTCTACCTTGTCAAGAGCACTATCTTTTTTTATGCTTCATGTCATAGATTAAGAATATGACAGGGATTAAATGGTTTTGTATTTTCTATTTCCGCTTGCCATACTCAACAATCTTCATTTTTTTAATCATCTTTTGTTATCAAGTATGATAATTGTTTTTCTAGAACTATCCTTAGTAAGTCCTCGACGAATGTTTTTTTTTTCTCATTATTTTATTTTTGTAATCTTCGTCTGTTGTCATTCTCTAAGATTTGTCTCTTTCTTTTTTTTTGTTCTTGTATACGTTCTGGCCAGGATGATCAAATTCAACCATTGTAACGAATGTGAAGATTAAAGTTTTATTGATATTTTTGCGAATGGATACGATTAAATGTCAAGCTCACTCTCAAGAGCAAAAAAAGATCTCAGAAGTTTTAATAAAAAATGTTTTTAATGTGATTCATAAGTCTTTCATAGAGAAAGTCACAATAATATAATGAAGATCAATAGAATCCGGAACGACGTGTATGATGACGCGGAATGGGTGGAGCTATAAGTATGGGAAGTGGACGATGTCTATTGGCAGGACGCATGATGTTATGGCGACGCTGATGAAGAGGAACCGGTTGCGAAGGATATCTTGGCACCACTACTCTGCGTACCACTCGTATACTGTCTTCGTCGCGCGATATAAAATAACCGACTATTGCTTGTTCTAGTTCTTCGATTCGAGTACCTGTTGATTGTAGACCAAAGAGACGCTTGTCTCTCAAATACACTACACCTGTTCGTTTGTTTCGTTCGAGATCTTTTCTTGGCGAAAACTGATAGTGCGATAAAATTGACCTAAAGAAAATTGAGCCTTCATATCAGAATGAAACTAGGTTTCTCTCTCTCTCCCTTACCATCGATTAATATAATTGCGATTAGTTCGACTACCATGCCAACGATGATACAGATTCACATCGACATAACCCACAAAAGCACCATTACCAGCTGCTCTAGCAACTCTATCACCCCAGTTCGATACTTGCATCCGATAATCCCTGTGTAACCCACTAGGAAATGTCTCTTCAACACGACCTAAAAGAGCATAAGCCAAATGAAGATCACCTGAACCAACGATGCAAAAATCGATAAGACCACCGATGGCATTAAAAGTATCTCGATGCATCGCCCAGGCATAACCTGGATGAGCATACCACTGAGAATGATGCGGATATATCGGCTTATTGTGACGAATGGAATATCCAAAGGAATGATCTCGTCTCAGAATTTCCTGTTTACCGCTGGGTCCTGTAAAATAACCAATTTTGAACATTTGTACAATGGGATATCGATCAAGAGCCTTCATTGTCAAGTGAGGCCAATTGAGATGCTATAGAAAGAAATGTATACTTCTCAAATTAGAAAAAAAAAGTTGATCACCTCAAATTCTACATCAGCATCGATCCACGCAATTCGATCAATCGTCGGTGGTAACTGTTGAACGGCAATATTGATTAAGTTCTCTTTCATCCACATAATGGATGGAGCTACAACTTGAATATGTCGTGGATTGTCAGCTTGTGTCACTTCAAATCGCTGTGGTGGCAAACCGAATCGTGTTGCCGAATCGAAGACACATTCAACAGTGAATAAATTAACACCAGAACGTGCCATGTGATTACGAAATTTATAATATTGTTCATATCGACTACGATATCGAACAGGATTGAATATAACTGATACAACACCCAAACGTGATAAATCATATTTAGGGGTATACATCCGAGCGATATGATGATTGAAAATATATTCTATTTAGAACAAGGCCAAAATATATTAATAGTGTTTTGACTGTTCTTTGCTATTTTTTCAACGATATAAAATCAATTTCATCCTCGTACGACTGCTACTAATGAAGCTATGCATGACTGACGCGTTTATTTATACAGAATAAAAAAAAGTAAAAAAAAAACACATGGATTTGTGTCCTATTTACCTATAATATCAAGTAAGTTTTGGCTACTACGAAAATCAATTTATAAAATACATTCCTCTTATTGAATCATCAAGTGAAGATAAATATTATATTTTTCTATTGAATTATTTATCGTTTTATATCATTTCTAGTCTTTGTTTTTGAATAATAATAATAATATATCAGATAATAAATGAGAAAATATTTTCATCAATTAGAAACTATATGAAAATAAATTCTACTTGTAGAGAAACATAATTCGTGAAGTTATTTTTTAAATCAGTGCTGCGCGTGTAAAAATAAAGGAAAATTAGATATTTATTTAAAGTATTATAAAAAAAAAGCTTGATTATCAGTTCTCATTGTTAGTTATTCACAATACTTGATTGATAACAATAACTAATGCTAATATAAACGCTTGATTTTCATCATCAGTTATGGCAACAGTGTACGTATCTGCTGCTTTGAGATATTTTTTACTAATATTAGCAACACTTCGTTCTCCTTTAGTAATCCGAAACGAGTGAGCAAGAATATCGACTGCTTCAATTGTATATTGACCATAAATTGAATCGATAGTAAATTTTTTGTGAAAAACTCGAAACTTTTTTTTAATGTGTGCCAATGAACATTCAGAGTTTCCATCGCCTGCTGACATGATGTGAAAGGTCGGATGCAGATGAAACAATTCTTGACGAATCTTGATTAACTCACTGAAATAACAAACAAATTTATGTGTATAAACAAGAACATGATAGAAGATCTTTATCTATAGGACTTACTTTCCATCTATATCTTCTAGTACCAAGTTATCACCAATAGACAATATTTTTGATCGAACATTGAACATATCATTACCAAGCTCATCTTTGATTGTGAAATTATCACGAAGCGATAGAATCGTTCCTCGAATTTGATAACGACAAATACGTTCTTGAGATTGGTTTGATGAGTGATTATTAGAAAGTCGACTGAACATAATAATAATAACAGTAATAAAGATTCAAATAATTTTAGTATTTATATATGTATATATTAATTCTATCGATGAGTAATAAAATCCATCATTAATATACAAAATTATTTCATCTATACGATTATTAAGTTTACATAATGACTCATCGAATAAACGTTGAATAGGTATAAGCATTAAAAACAAAAATTTGAATCAATGCCATTCTACATGAATACATGCAATTATTAGCTGAGTATACTTTTAAATATTTGTCAATATGCATGATTACATATCATTTCAGGTATACATAATATTGACTACTAGTTGAATGCAGCAAATGCCGAAATTTGACAATCCGCCAATAGTCTACAAACGAACCATTAGGAAGAAAAAAAAGCAATGTATTTCATTTGAGAAGTAATTTTAAGTTCATCAAACGGAATTATTCCCTAGATTGTAAGGATAAAGTCTAGAGACGGAAATTGATCTGTCTTCATGTCTCATTTTTGCCGGTAATATGGCACAAATGACTACGTAACTATGACATATTTTCAATAATATAATTTTTATTTGAATAGCATAATATTTAATTTATTTATGTCAAAAAGTTAAATATTTGAAATATTTCTTAATTATATATATGTGATTATTTTATCGAATAAATTTAAATAATGAAGGAAGATGAAAATAATATTAGCAACAAAAGAACGACGATGTGTACAAAAATCTTGTACTACAAATCAGAAAAGCAAAGCTCGGGACTAGAAACTTCAAAAACTGCAATGTCATTTGATCATTTTTAAATTTACTAGTTGCATTATTGTGAAATTTTGTCAAATTCTACTTTTTCTAAGATTGAGTTTAATAATGCTAAAGCATTTTCAGACGTTATTTGTTTATCTATCTTGAGGGTGTGCTTGCAGGAAAGTCTATAATCTTAATCATTGATTGACATCCACACCGACACACATATTCTCAAAATTCTTAGCAAATAGTATGACTTTTAAATTTTATTCTTTTTTTAAAAAATTATGTTATCTTCATGTAATATTATTAATATTACTTTTACAAAATATAAATTTTCGATTAGTACATTTTTTATTAAATCCATATTAGAATAGACTGAGAAAACGTCGGATTTCTTACGATGATAGATCTTGATGGCAAACGATCGTGTAACCAATGAATTATTCTATCTGTGTTCGACATGTTTTCATCATCACCATTTTTAAGGTGCGGTGATCCTGTACAATCGGCAATTTTTAAATGATTTTTCAACCATTTCGAAAGCTTCTTTTTTTTTAACAAATGTCCATTATGTGATCCTTCATGGTGTTTTTTAATGCTTAGAAAATGTTCACGAGTTATTTCATTATGACATTGTACATCTAGAGATCGAAGATTGATCATATTTTCAACCAGATAAACAATACTTTCATAACTAATCACATTTATTGACAACTCTTCACATTGAGTACCTAATGCTGAATGAACTAAAATTTCACATTCTTGTTGGCTGAAATTGTGATTATGACATTTTAAATAAAGTTCACGAATTGATGCATTTGTACATTTAAATAATAACATTTGTGGATGTGAGGATTCATTCTGATCAATAACTAAACGACAAAGATTAGGTGCTCGATTAAATAATGTTTGTAATTGAGATTGAAAATGATCTATATGCGATGATAGGATCATGAGTGAGTGTAATCGATTTAAACTTGGTACAACCGACCAAAACTGATCATTAATAGGAAGTGTAATAGATAGATGTTCAATGTTACGCATACTGACTGTTGATGGAATACGTCGCTGAGAAAACAATTCGTAAGAAACGTCAGTAATATTATCACAAAAATTTTGTTGATTATCATACGGACATGTTGATGTCCATGAATCAGGATAATTAAATGTATCTCCAAAATCATGGAATCTATGAGATGATGTATAAAGATAAATAGTTCTATCTCGTATATAACATTGAACAAACCATTGATGTTCATCGATCCAAAAAGAACTTCGATATGAATTAGCTATATCACGGAGTAATATCTGTGGATACAGTTCACCATAAAAACGATTCATACTGAATCGAAGTATTTTGAGTTTTGGTAAATAATTACGAATAGCTTCTTCCCACTGATAACCATAGATTAATCCTGTCCTAAAATGGACATCCAAACAACGTAAATTAGGTAATGCTTTTAAGAAAATGACTATTTGAGAAAAATCAGATGAGAAAAAAACATCAATTTTTAACTTGATCAATGCCGGACGATAAAATAATTTGTAATTATCATGATCAGACATAGCCATAGATATTGAAAGATGTGTAAGACAAGGTGTACTTTTAAATAGCCGATTTATTTGTTTCCATTCTAAATGATGTCCTTTTACAGATAGATATTGTAGAGTAGAAGAGATAGTTGTTGGTAAACAAAATAAATCAAGTGAAATACCAATATCAAAATCACATCGAATAAGTTTTGGTAAACTCCAAATATTATTAATCACAGGTTGAAGTTCAGGACGACTAATTCGTAAATAAAGCAAAGATAATCTTAAATGAGTAAGATTACAAAGCTGATGACATATATTTAACAGTTTTAATAATGTTTCTAATGAAGGAATATTTGACAATGAAAGTGTTCGTAAACAAGTAAATCGATTCCATGATGGAATATAAGAAAGAAATAGATTGATTTGTTCTGGTGTATTGTAACTCTCAGATAGACAAATACCAACAATTTTATCAGCAATACAAGGTATATGTTGTTGACATATTAGATCAAAATAAAACTTTGATATTGATGCAAATTGAAAATGATAAGTTCGAAATTGCTTATAAAGAAGATTATTGAATCGAGAATTAAGTCCATAAAATGCACGAAAAAGATCGATACCATTAATATAATCGAAGAGTTCAAGAAATATTTCATTAGGAAATGATTCTATATCCATTTTATCAAGTTTTTTTTACTTTACTCCCTAAATATTTGCTAAGTACAAAATACGATACGATGATGTTTTGTATTGCGCAGAACGAGCAATCGACGTTTTTTTTTCTTTTGCTTTCAAAACAATAATGATCATATCTATTTATAACGTATGACGGACTAACGAATAAATCAATTGAATTAAACAGGGTGTGGCTTTCAAAAAATAAAAACTAGATTTTATTTATAATTTAAGATAAATAATATTTAGTACTTTTTTTAAATGTATTAGATCAGAAAATTGTAATTATTAAGAATATTTCGATGAAAATAACAAACGATAATATAAAAATAAAGATGTCACCATGCGACGACAAAATTAATATTATATGATTCTAATGTAGATTATGGATGGTTGAAAGTATTATGCAATACTTGATCATTTATTTTAAATTTTAAAAAAGAAAGTCTTTCGTTCAATTCTTATAAGATCAGCATAAAGATAGATTTCATTGGCGATTACATAGCATGAGGAAAGTTAAGTTTCTTTTATCATTTGTTCGTTATTCTCGACAAAGGTAACATTGAATCTAATGAAGAAGATAAGAAGCTTTTTGGGCATCTAAAAATAAACTTTTAGAAACAGTTTTGATGATACTAAAAACTTTGTTTTTGTTTTATTAGCACGACAATTAATAAAATATAAAATGTCTCTTAGGAGTATCTCATCTGGAATATTACGTACACCCAATTCGGCATTTGTCAATCTATTAGATTATCCTTTTCAACCAAATTATATTGATTTATCTAATCCTGGTTCGATTGGTGATGGTAAAACAAAATTACGTTTACATTATTTAGATGAAGGAAATCAAAGTAGTCCGGAAACAATTTTATTATTACATGGTGAACC